CCTCCTATATCAAGGTTTCTTTGCGATGTAAACTTTCAGAACACCGATACAAGTAATTGCTATTTTTAGCTCAACTTTCAAAATCTACTAGAATTCTCTAATTTTTGAAAAAAAATCGGATTTTGTCGCTGACTCAATTGAAAATTTGTTTCTAGAAATTCTCATTCTTAGCCCGCTGAGGTCAATTGAAACATTTCCCTAGAAAAACGAAACTGACATACACGACTTCACAGTGTGGTTTTTCTATGTTTCCCAAAGATAGGGAAACGATCCCTTAAATACCTCAGAAATCCTTAAGTTTGTGTAAACCTTTGAGTTTCCTTTTTGGCTATATTCCTGTGGTTACTTATCTCACATTAAAATGAAATTAATAACTGCCATTTGTAGCAACCGAAACGTTTTCTCCTAATCTTTGTCAAGTGTCATACAAAAGGTTTTATTTATGCAATATTAAAGAGCATTTTCCTCTAAACGGATTGGTGTTGTTGTCGTTATGCTGGTATAGATTTCCTGAATGACAACAGTAATAACAACAGCAACAATTACCATTAGCAGTTACATTGCAGTTGCAAAGAGTGAGAGAGGGCGACTTTTAGCCAACATGAGATCTTAACTTAAGAATCCTTGAATACATAACACCAACACACACACAAAGCAAAACATTCATACATTGCTATGCCATGTCCTCTCAATAGTTTTCTGTCTATGTATATGTGTGTATATGTGTCTTCTGTCGTTGTGAATGAATCTGTAAATGCATTGTGGTTACAGCGGAAATAGTCAACCACAAAATGGTTGTGTAAGATTGCACAGGAAACAAGGAAAATTACAAATTTCCGGTGAAACAAAAACAAAAATATTGTTACCCTACATAGCTTGGTTCATGGGTGATGGTGATTTATAGCTGGAGGTGGGGGGTGGTTGTGGTGCTAACTTTGAGAAGAAAAAATGCAGGGGTTTCCAATTAGAAATGAAGGCATATTCTTTTGGGGAGAGCAGAAACGAAGGATGTTTTTTTTATTACGATGGAACCCCTTGATATCTCCAGAGATCATATGGAAGAGGACGCCGATTTTCAATGAAAATCTTCCGGAAGCCTTCTGTGAAAAAAGACAGAAACCCCTTTTGGGGGTCTTTTATAAAATCATGCCATTCTCAAAGCCTTCTTTGAAGACTTGCCAGAGTTTTTTTACAGTTGGCGGACTTTAAGAAGTCTTCTTTAAAAAGGAGACCATCTAGAGGTCTTCTATAAGCAGGAGGTCTTAGAGGTCTTCGTACGTAGATCACTTTGTAATGATCCTCTATAGAGAGCACTTCTTATAATGATTCATTGCAGAAAAATGATCTTCTAACCGTATAGGACTTCCTTCTGACTGACTGACTGTCTTAAGGATTCATCAACGCCCACACGAAATGGCTGAAGCTTGAACCATGAAATTTTGGCTGAGGATCACTGTTGGTCCGAAGGTGTAAGATAAGGCTAGGTTTTTGGAAATTCGTACTAGAACGGTGCAAAAAGTACTAAATATTGTAGCCTTTGTATTTGACTAACCAATAGAGCTAGAGCTCTTAAATTTGAAATGAGGGTCAATGGATGTACAAAAGGGATTTTGGAAGGGTACGAAAAGTACTTAAATGTACAACATTTGCTACCATTTGGTAATATTTGAACGGATAGAGCTAACAACTTTAAATTTTGGTATGAGAATCAAGGTTCGACAATAAGTTTGATATATGAAGGTGGTTTTGGATATTGTACGAAAAGTACCAAAATTTGGTATTGGATGAAGGGATAGAGATAAAATTTCGGAATTCCATATTTAGAATACTAATGGCGTCTGTGTTTGAGATATGGCGTTGGTTTCGAAATTCGTTACATTTTTGTACGAATAGTACTAAATGGTACTAAATTTAGAAGTGGTTTAAGAAATGGGGCTGGGCGGGAAACTTAAAATTTGATATTCAGGTCTGTGGAATTGAGATATAGAGGCGGTTTTGGAATTTAAGTACTAAATGTGCGAACTGTACTAAATGGTACTAAATTTGGCACCATTTGCTTTAGGGTGAACGGATGAGCTAGAATTTTACATGTTGTTCTGGGATCCCTCTTGGTTGCAGGTTTGTTATAAAGAGGTGGTTTGGGAAATGTGTACTACCAGTGAACGAAAAGTACTAAATAGTACAATATTTGGTACAATTTGGTATGGGGTGAAAAGATAGTGCTTCAAATCTCAAATTTCGTATGAGAGTCGCTATTCATGTGAAGACTGGGCATATGATGGTGGTTTCGGAAATGTGTACCATATTTGTAGGAAAAGTACTAAACGGTACTACATTTGGTATGGGGTGAAGGGAAAGGGCTGGAATCCTAAAATTTAATATTGCGATCTCTGTTGGTTTCAGAAATTGACATATGAGAGTGGTTTTGGAATTTGTGTTCTAAATGTGCGATCTGTACTAAAGTAAAGTAAGCCTGCACGCATGAAGGTTGTTTTGGAAATGTGTACTTTAATGTTACGAAAAGTAATAAATGGTACCGTATTTTTTCGGAGTGAAGGGATGGTACTGAAATCCTCAAATTTGATATTCAGATTAAAAAGGCTTCCTTTATTTGTAAGAAAAGTACTTAGTAGTACAAAATTTGGTATTGGGTGAAGGGATGGGGCTGAAACCCTCAAATTTGATATTAAAATCTCTCTTTGTTTCTGAAATTGACAATTGGAGGTTGTATTGAAAATGTGAACTTAGTGATCGAACATTATTAAATGTGTAATGATGCTTTGGGGTCTCTGTTGATGGTAGGTTTGTGAAAAATTGGTGGTTTAAAATATGTTTACGAAAAGTACTAAATAGTCCTATATTTGGCACAATTTGGTATTGGATGAAAAAATATTAATTGAAATCTGAAATTTGATATTAGGGTCACTGTTCATGTGTAGCCTGCACGCATGAAGTGGTTTCGGAAATGTGTACTATAATTGTACGAAAAGTACTAAATGGTACTATATTTGTTTGTTTGGAAGGCTTAGGGCTGGAATCCTTAAATTTGATATTGAGATCTCTGTTGGTATTTGGAATTGTGATATTGAGGTTGGTTGTGGAAAAAGTGTACTATAAGTGCACGAAAAGTACAAATTAGTACTATATTTGGTACAATTCGGTATTGTGTGAACAGATAGAGCTTGAAATTTGGTATAAGAGTTGTTGTTCATGTGAAGAGTACTAAATGGTACTATATATATTGAGAGCGATGGGATAGGGCTGGAATCCTCCAATTTGGCATTGACGTCTCTCTTTGTATTTGGAATTGAGATATGGAGGTGGTTTTGAAAAAGTGTACTATAATTATACGAAAAGTACTAAATCGTACCAAATTTGGTATTGGTTAAAGAAATAGAGTTGCAATCCCAAAATTTTATACTGAGGAGTCAGTTGGAGTCTGAAATTGAGATTTGGTAATGTTTTTGCAAACGTGTACTATAATGCTACAAAACGTACTAAATAGTACTACATTTGGTATTGGGTGAAGGAATAGAGCTAAAATCCTGAAATTAGATATAGATGTCAATGTTGGTGTCTGTGTTTAAGATCTGGAGGTGATTTTGGGTATGTGTACTATAATTGTTCAAAAAGTACTAAGTGGTACTAAATTTGGTTTTGGGTGAAGGGAAGTGGCTGGAATTCTCAAAATTGATATGAGGTCTTTGTTGGTATCTGAGGTTGAGATATGGAAGCGATTTTGGAAATTCCGTACTATAATTTACGAAAAGTACTAGATAGTACTAAATTTTGTATTAGGTGAATGAATAGAGCTGGAACCCCGAAATTTGATATTATGGTCTTCGTTGGTATCTGTGATTGAGATATGAAGGTGGTTTTGGAAATATGCACTATATTTGTACGAGAAGTACTAAATAGTACTAAATTTGTTGTTAGGTGATGGAATAGACCTGGAATCCTGAAATTTGATATAGATGTCACTGTTGGTGTCTGTGGTTGAGAGAAGAAGCTGGTTTTGGATATGAGTACTATAATTGGACTAAATGGTACTAAATTTGGTAATAGGGAAAATTAAAGAGTTAAAATCCTAAAATTTGATATTAAGGCTATTTTTGGAATCTGAGTTTTAGATATGGAGCTTGTTTTGAAAATGCGCACTTTAACTTTACAAAAATAACTAAATTATACTAAATTTGGTATTGGATGAAGGAATGAAGCTGGAATGCCGAAATTTGATATTGAAGTCACTGTTGATTTCTAGGGCTTACGTATGGAGACGTTGAAATAGTTTTGAAAAGAAAAGTGAATGTGGGTCCATTGTGAAATTGTTTTACTAAAATCCCCCTCGATGAGCTTCAAAATTAAAGATTTTGAAGACTTTTTGTTGTAAAAGGTAAAAACTGACCTATTATTATTTCCGAAAATGGCAAGACTTTAATAATATATTAAACCTTGATAGTCGGAGAATTTAGTACGATGTATGACGTTATGATAACATAAGTACCAAAGTGATTTCACACTAACTGTTGGAGGGAATCCCAAAATTTAAGATGAACTTTTCGCTGATGAAGTAGGCGGCACTTGCTAGTATTGTATAAAAAGGAACGACAACTGTAGATGGAAATATTCCTGTAGCTTTAAAAAAAATAAAATTTAGGTCGAAATCTTTTTAAAAAGTCATATTAGAAGTACTCTGCAAATAGAGAGCCAAAAAGTTCTCTTATAGACAGATTTAGTTGAATTGTTTTTCTTCAGAAATGTGATAAAAATTATCCTCATTTGTGTATTTATTTAAATTGCTGTAAGAAACCGAGTTCACCCCTCTACCCCACAATGCTCACCCCCGGAGATTTTACAATTATATCACATTAAATATGGATAAATAAATCTCCCAAGACTTTACTATGTGTAAACCAAAATATCTTTCACACACATACACCACACTCTCACACTTCCGCATTGTTTTACTAAAATTTCCCACATCTTCTCTTAACTTCTAGGCTTTACATCATAGCCAAACCATGGAAGGATGCTCGGCACCGTTGGTGGTAAAATTTGCCGATACACAAAAGGAAAAGGACCAAAAGAAACTGCAACAACTGCAGGTGGGTTTGTGCGGCATAACGGCCCTAACCACACCGACCGCAGCAGCACCACGGGCTGTGCTCGGTGCTCTGACAGCTGCTGCACCGGCAACACCTGCCCTCAGTTCAGCCACACAATTGGTCTCAGCCACACCAGTGGCCGCCGCTGTGTCTGTGGCAACGGCACCGCGGCCCATTGCCTCATTGGCTACCATCTCAGCGGCTCCTGCCTCCTTACCCGTTTCTGCGGCGGCCGCTGGCGGAGCTTCAGCCGGAGCCGCACTCATACCCACATCGACGGCTAGCATGTTTGTACCCACACCCACCAGTGCCACACAACCGGTCTCGCCCTATCTGACCACAGCCGATGGCATGTTACCAAATTCGGCAGCCGCTGCCCAAATGCAAATATTCCAACAATTGCAGGCGTATGGATTACAGCCGGCTCATTACTTGCAAGGTAAGTGTGTATGTGTAAATGTATGCAATCATGCATTCGTATGAATTTCTGTTAGGTTATTTATTTGCAAAAAAAAATCATTTATTTGAAAATTGTCTTGAAAACGAAAACTCCGATCGTATGTTTTATTTTTCTTAAGCATTGTGTTTTCCTCCACCCTCGTTTTTTGTTTTTTCTTACATAAATTTTTTGTATTTTTAGTTTTGTTTAAAGACAACTCTTCATTAGAATTTCTTCTTCTTACATGTGTTTTTTAGTTGTCATTGTATCCCATATTCCCTTACCCACTGTTCCCGCTAGAGGGCGTTGTAATATTTTTAATGATAATCCTGGATTGTTATGTTTTTTACTTAAAAAACATAACAATCCAGGATTATGGTTTTTTCCCCGAAAAATTTTGAAATAATGACAATTCCTTTAAATATATTTTAGATATAGTCTTTAAATAGATAAATAAATAAATAAATCATAAAAATCAAAAAAGTGATAGCTCAATAAAACATATTCCTAAAAAATAGCTTGAAAGGTAGTCTTCAAAAAAATTCTCTAGATTGATTTAATTTTTTTCCTAAATAATTTGACCCTGAAAACAATCTACAATGGCAACCAGTAAAGAAAAGTCAAAAGTCGGGCGGTGCCGACTATATGATACCCTACAATGTACACAATGTGCATATTTAGCAGAACTACCCGTAACAAATAATCGTTTATATTGGGAATTTATATGAAGTGGATCATTCCAATCAATTAACTTTTTTATTTAAATTGAAATCGGACGGATATATATTTGGGAGGTATATCCACATCTGAACTGATCTTTAGAAAATTTAAGAGAGTTATTTCTGTGACATGTCTGATATCTGGAACCAACAATCATTGTTGTGGAGTGCATATAAAGAATATGAGCGAATCGAACACCAAAATGGAATGAAACATTTGTATGGGAGCTATAGCTATATCTGATCCGAGTTCAACAAATTTTGAAGCATTTGCTTCTAGACAGAATTCGGTTGGAAGTGCCGAAATTCACTTCATTTGGATTGATTTTGACTATCTGGCGCACAATAAATGTGAAATCGGTCGAAGATATATATGGGAGCTATAACCAAATCTGAGCTGATTTCGCTAAAATTTGCCGGAAGTATTTCTGAGCTGTATGAAATATCTGGTACCAAATATCACTGTTTTGGTGTGCATATTGCGAAGGTGAGGGACTTACACACCGAATCGTATATATGGGAGCTATAGCAATATCTGAACCGATTTTAACCAAATTTGAAGCACTTGCTTCTATTCGGACGAATTTTCCATATATGGCGGTCAATTTAAATCGGGCGAAGATATATATGAGAGCTATATCCCAATCTGAACCGATCTCCATAAAATTTGGCAGAAGTATTTCTAAGTTATATGGGTATCTGGTACCAAATATCATTGTTGTGGAATGCATATTACGAATACGGGAGCTATAGCAATATCTGAAGCACGATTTCCACAAAATTTTGCTTCTAAACCCAATTTGTGCGCATGTTCCAGCTTCCATCCTAGTTGGACGAATATTACGCATTTAGTGAACTATAAAAGTCAAGCCGGACGAAGATATACCTAAATTTTTACCCATTATCATCAATTTCAATAAGGATTCATCCTTGTACCAAACAAATGATTTGTGGAAAATTCCACAGTCCGTCTGTAGTAATATTTAGCAACTATTTCAACAAAAAACCACGACAAGAAAAAAATATTTAGAAAATCCAAAATTGAAAAAAAAATTCCGAATGAAAAATATTCTTATAAATCCACTCTTGAGCTCTGAGAGCCTTAAAAATGTTACTAAAAATAATCTTTAAAGATTACTCTGAAAATCAACGAATAAAGCTTAGATAGTCCTTGAAAAAAAAAAACACTCTTTAAAATTTGAATTTGAATTGAAAATTTAGAACGTTTTTGAAGCTCGGATGGAGGTTGAAAAAAACAGCAATCAGGATCCTTGAAAATAAGGTCTGAGAGATAATTTACTTAAAAAATACACAATTATACCTCAGCGACCTTAAATATATATAATTTTTCAAATCCACGGTTATAGACCTGATATTACTTCAAAATATTTTTTTTAAATCCACAATTATGGTTTTGAAAGTCTCTTATATCCATATTATAGCCCTAAGAACTCTTGAATATATATTCTTTTATAATCTCCTATTACAGCCTTGAAAGCTCTTGAAATTTTTTTATTCAAAAATCCCCGATTACAGCTTAACCTTAGAGATCTTGAAAATATTTCCCGAGAATCCTTAGAAATATTTCCTTAAAAAAATCCACTATAATACTATTTTATTAAAAAACAATATTTTAGCTCTGAGCCTCCTTGGAAATGTTTTCTTATTACAGCTTTGACATTCCCTAAAAAAATATATATTTTTTTTGAAATTCACGGTTATTAAAAGTCCTAAAATATTTTTAATGTATGATTGTAGCTCTGAGAACCGTTGAACACATAATCTCAAAAAATACGGTCAAAGCGTTTAGAGTCCTTGAAATATTTTCTTAGATTATCCACAATAAAAGCTCTGTGAATAATTGAAAATATTTATTTTTAGAATAAAAATTGTTAAATTGATTTCTTCAAAATATTTTCTTAAAAAAAGTGGTGATTATTGCACTGAGTGTCCTTGGAAATAATATCTCTGAAAATCCTAAACAATACATTGATTAAGGAATTCCAGATTTAAATCTTGAACTTCCCTGAAAATATATTTTTAAAAATCCACAAATATTGTTTTGGTTTCCCCAGGAAAAAAAATATTTCTTAAAAATTCCACAAAAGAAGCTATTAAAAATTATTGAATAAAATTTATTAAAGGAAGCAAGATTATTACATTAGTATTTCTTAAAAATATATATTTAGAGGTTCACGATTAAAGCTCTGACAGTCCTTGGACATGAATATCCAAAATTAAAGCTCTAAAAGTCTTTGAAAAAATATTTAAAACAAAAATATATTTAGGTAAATATCCGCAATTAGAGCTTTTCTTGAATTCTTGCAAAAAAAATTGTATATACCTCTCATAATCTTTTAAATTTCGTGTCCTGTAATGTATCCCTTTTTTACCATATTAATATTACAACGCCCTCTATCCACATTTCTCCCACTTCTATTGTTTTGTCAATTTTTTTCTTTTGAAAAATCTCCCCCTCACATTTTCTATAAAATTTATTTCTTGTTTTGTTGCATTTAATATTATCTTTTCCGTATTGATTGTATGCAAAATGTTTTTTTGTTTGTTCAGTTTTTGTTGTTTTGCAAATGCATTTATGTCTCTCAAAAGGAAAATTAGCAGAATTCTTATATTTCAGATATGTTTTGTATGTTTCGAATAATAATGTAAGATATTTAAAGCAAATGTTTGGTAAAAAATAAAAACAAAATATAAAAGTGTTTAATAATTAGCATGATATTAAAGAAAAAAAATCATAGAAAATTTCTTTATAATTAATTATACGATGGTAGAATTAAGAAGGTAAAGACATGCCATCATATGTTTACAATTTTTTCAAAAATTTATATTTATAAATCCATTGTATGCACAGAAATCAGAAATGGGAAACCTATTTTTTATCCAGTGAAATTTGACAAGGTTAATTACAGAAAATACCGAGATGGATAGTCGTATTTGAAATAACTTTACCTTCTTAATTTTACCATGAATTAAATATTATTACATTTAAAAATTCTTAAAAAATGTTTATTGGAAATTATTCCATTATTAAAATATTATAAATAAAATATAAAAATATATAAAATTAAAATATGAAAATTAAATTGAAAATTTTAAAAGCACATTTGGAATGGTGTTTTTCTTCCGCATTCATCTTAAAAAATAATATTTTTATTTCATTATTAAAAATATAGGGAATATGTTTATGTCATGAATGCAAAAATAAAACAAATAATCATCAGGAGCCATCAACGACTGAATATCTTTTAATTTATTATTTTTGTCTTATAAAACAAAAGTTGAGTTGAAATTATGTCAAACATACATATTTTCCAATTTTTAAAATTATGACATTATTTAGAATTTTACCGGATTAACACACAAAAAAAACTAAATTATTTATTCAAATCTAAAAAATATACATTTAAATAAAAAACTGCCGCCCCCGGGTGGGCTCGAACCACCAACCTTTCGGTTAACAGCCGAACGCGCTAGCCAATTGCGCCACGGAGGCTATTTGACCACTGTGCGATTATACTGGCATATGAAGACCGGGGTTGACATATGTGTACATTCATATGTCAAATGTAATAACGCACTGCAGAATTAACAATACATTTTAAAGGATTTCAATAAATTTTAGCACTGCGAGTACTCCAAAATCAAGCCTAAATTCAAAGTGGATTGGCAAAGATATAGACATAGTACGTAAATACGGATACGTGTTGTGTGTATGTGTGCTTGTATCTTTTTTTTTTTTTTTTTGAGACTTTAAGCCTACTCAAATAGAAGTCATTATTTGCTCTATAGGTATTTAGCAAGACTTAAGGAGGTTTCAAAGACTCATTTTTATTATGAAGAATCAATGTTATAAAAACTATATTACATAGTTACATATTTTCGTTTAGCACCCATGTACGGATAACCCCGATTTCACTATTTTTCTAACTAATTTATTCAAATTTTGGGGTTCTCAATTATTAGAAACTCTCCTTGCAAACACTTAGCGTTATATGTCCACATTATAATAATGCCCAGGTCTAAAGTGCCCTTCTGTTTCAGTTTCTACGAATATCTTAACAAATTACAGTCTAATTCATTCGAGAATCCTAAATATGCCAATAATTTGGGGACTACATCTATACTTAGGTAATTTTCACTTTATATATTAACTAATATGAGATGATTACAATGTCATATTTAAAAAAATTGATACAAAAAAGTTATCGCCCCCGGGTGGGCTCGAACCACCAACCTTTCGGTTAACAGCCGAACGCGCTA